GTTGCATCATCTCTATATCGTTTAATTTGGTCTTTCTTCTTCTTCTTCCTCATATAAATGATCAAATTTGACAAGTTGCTAATATAGATGAATATATATTTAGATAGGTCATGAAATTAGTTGATGCCATAGATAAGAATTTAAAATAAATAACTTAACATATTGATTGTTTTTGAACAGTATAGTTTCTTCTTTTTCTATATGTTTATATAAAAAGACGAGAAATTATTGAATTTACGTAAGATGAATGAAGTGACAGGTTGTGAGTGAATCACATAACCACATTTTTAGCACTTGAATATATGAAACAGACAAAAAAACAAAAAAAAAAAAAAAAAAGAGAAAATCTAGTTTAATGGCTTCATGTTATTATCGTTTAATGTATGTGTGTGTAAGTTGCATAATGCCATCAATTTATCAGAATTTAAAATTGTACATAGCAACATGAAAAGTATATTTCTATGAAATTTGGCCAATTTAATCTGTTGCGTGTACATTTATTCTCTTGTCCAATTTTCATTATTTTAGAAACATTTTATATAAATGTTAAGAAGCTACTGTTCTATATATCAAAGAAAAAAGAGCATATATGTAATATGATCGATAGACAACTGACAAAAAATGAGATAAGATGTTTTCGGATCATCAACTATCATAGTAAAAAGAAAAAAGAAAGAGTAACAGTGATGAAATCACAACTAAAAAAAAAATTTTTTATCAATGAATTCCAATGAAGAAACATTCGAAAATACATTTTTATCGAATTTATATATTGTTCGACCACGAACATTACTTCGATCACCATTATATCCAATAAAAGATAATCGAGATGATATTTATATTAAAGATGGTTCTTTAACAGGTTTAGATTATTTATCTAACATACGAAATTATTTATGGAATCGAGAAACAAAACGTTTTTGTGCTCGAGATGGTCTTGAATGGGCTAAATTTGGTTGTTGTTATTTTATTTATTTATTTACATTGGGTATTCTTTTTTCTGCACTTGTTATTATTTATATGTTATTGCTTGATAAAAAAACACCAAGAAGACTTGGTAATGATAGTGCAATAGCATTTGATGGTGGAATTAATCCAGGTAATCGAATTTATAAACAATGCTATGAAACATTATAGAATCATTAAACGGAAGGTGATTCTCTACAACTTTTCACAGCACTATATACACATCATTCAAGACAATATCGTAGAAAAAAAAACGTAAATACATAAGAATTCTCATCAATGCCTATTATTTCGTTAAATAATGTGCGAATTCAATAGTTAGATTACAAGTAACGTTCATCGTCAAGCGATTCACTTAGCCCTAGACTGATAGAATACATGTACGGAAGGAATAGCATAAAAAGCTACATTAAAAAAGTAATACGCAACATTGATAATATGACCAGTATACCTTAGGCGACCAGAAAACTTAATTTGGAGAATTCTCACTCTAAGTAAAGATGATGCATTTACAAATTTAATTTTTTTTTATCGTTTTTGTTTAATTTTTTTTTTGCTTTTATGAATATACATAGCGCCTAATAAGATTAGACAACAATACGATTTTTTTATAATTATATTGGCGCTATTTGTACGTACAAAAATATGAATTATATTATTCATAAAATTTGAGTTTTATTAATCAATATTTTATGCTTAAATTCACGCATTAATTCTAAACTATTAATAAATTAGATATTCATTGATACAACATTGCACAATCAATCTTACAATAATGAATAATTTAAACGATTTCTTTAAATCCATACTGCTCATTTGGTCTGACTCTCACTAATTAAATGCTTGTGTAAGTAAGCCGTTTTACATCACTACCCAAATTATAGTTATTCCATTGACATTTTACCCATGATTATTATGGGTTCATTTACATCAGTCTTTAGATGGTCATTTGTACCATAGTTACCGGAATAGTTGTTTGTACCATGATTGCTATATGGTCACTTGTGCCATAGTTATGTGGTCGTTTCTACCAAAAAAATGACCGTTTGTGCCATAGTTACATGCTCATTTGTACCATAGTTACCTAGTTAATTTTAGTAAAAAAATGGCCGTTCGTGCCAAAAGAATGGTCACTTGTGCCAAAAAAATGGCCATTTGTGGCACGAAAATGGTCACTTGTGCCAAAAAAGTGGTCGTTTATGCCATAAAAATGGTCACGTGTGCCAAAAAAATGGCCATTTTGACTGCGTTACCGACAGACAGACAGACAGACACAGGTGAATTTCGGTTTCTAGACGCTAGCCTTTCAGTCTTGGGAATAGAAAGAAAATCTTATTTTATTGGCTTTGCGCGCCATTCGAAATACATATTTATTTTTATTTTAACGATCACATAGTTACCATATGGTAACCATACGTGTTACAGACAGACAGACAGACACAGGCGAATTTCCGTTTCTAGACCCTATACTTTCAGTCTAGGGAACAGAATTACCAAATCGATATTTTCAAAACGAGGCGCCCTCTACAAAAAACCAGAAGACTATTGTTGAAAAGTAGAAAGGATTCACTGGCAGTTTCGTTCGCAGAAGCGTTTGTTAATTTCTTCTAATCAAGGACTCATAAGTAAAATTTCCTGACAAGTGCTTTAAAAAGAAAATCAAGAAATATTATCACAGGTATTTTATATTATTAATCTTTTAATCAACATTATTATAGGTTGAAGTACGATTGGAGATAAAAGATTTGAAATTTCACTAATATCATCTTCTTGAGATGAAGTCATTGGAAAATTTTATGTACAAAAAAAAAAATTCTAGTTTTGGACAAAAAAAACAAAATCAATAGGAGAAGCAACTTATTTTCCTATCGGTTGTTAAGTTAACCCTATACCTTCTTGGTCACTGAAATGACCATTAGTAGAACACTTGCAGAAACTAAAGAAAGTATCGGATTCAGAAATGATACGAAACCTTGTTTGTAGTAAATTTCATGAGCTATTGATTGATAAAAAGAGTGTTTGTTTTCATCGTTCCGTCTTTGAAATATCTAGTCTGGAAAATCGATGATTTTGAAAAAAAACAACAAAATCAAATTTTTTAAAACAAAATGTTATCTTTTCAAAAGTTTCAGGACAGCTGCACGAATAAAAAAAATGCGAAGGCATACGATTGATCATGCTGCCATTATAGAGCAAATGAAGAACAAAGTTGTTAGATGTATTATAAATATCAACTAATGAAAAGTTGAAATAGTATTTATTATGAATAAAATTTCTTCAGAGATTACAAAATGATTCAAAGCAAAATAGACTTCCCTTTCTCCAACACATGATCACTGGATCAATCAAATTCCCCTACTCTAGAAACAGGATATTCCGTGGATTAGATCTTACTATTGGCATATCAAAAGGGCTAATACTCTACTTATAAAGTTATTTTATCCATGGATCTTTTAGAACCGTTATAAAGGGTAAAAAGTTGATCTAATCCGAAAAAAACGATCTTCTTTTTTTTTTGGCTTTTCTTATTGGTTAAATATATCGCTAAGACTTTACATGAAGAAAATACAACAAAATAGAAGAAATCAGGAGAGAATTGTGAAAACCAGTTTCTGGTACCAGTAGATTTTTTCACGAGCAGAAAGGCTCAAAAATCAGGATTCTACTGGACAAATCCAGGAGGCTTGATCATCCCGGTTAAATTTTTGAATTCATAATTGAAGGAGGATTATTTAGAACATAGAATAGATATATTTTTGTAATGTTCGATATGATTGAATTGTAATTATAGATATTTGATCAAATAGTTTTTTGTTCTGGAAATTATTCAAATAATCAGTGAATATCATGAATCGTTACATAAAAAGTTTACAACCTCCTTCGGAGCTTCATTGCTCCAATAAAATACAAGCATTTAAACAGATGAAAAGTTTACCAAACACTTCGGTGATATGTTTGTTGTCACTAAACTAAATAAATATTACTGCAAGGATAATGAGATAGAGATAAACTTATAGTTTAGTTTATGAAAAAAAAAATACGAACATTCTAATGTAAACACAAATTTATGTAAAACTTTCTACTGTATTTCTCGTGTGAACCGTGCTACGAAAAGTGGTATATCATTTGTTTGGATTATAACTACATGTTTGAATCTTTTCTTACAAACAGAAAAAAAATGAAAATCATCTTACTCGTATTGAATGTTGAAAGAAAAAACAACCTATTAATCATTCATATTTTTTAGGTCTTGGTTTTCGACCACAATTATATATGGATCGTTCAATAATAAAATGGCGTAGTTCACGTAAACTAGGTCGTGAATCAACTGGTGAAATAATTGATAATATACAAGAATGGGGTAAACTCCATACTGTTAAAGATCAATTTTATCAACAAATGATCGATTGTGCTACGATACCACGTCATTTATTAATAAATTATTTTCGTCAAGGTCTTTCATGTATGTTTTTTGTTACTGATGTAAAACCAGGTCCTAATCCATGTTCTAAACCAAAAAGTTTTGGTTATAATAAAGGTCGTCCATGTGTTCTTATTAAATTAAATCGAATATTTGGTTGGATACCAGAACCTTATCAATCAAAAGAAGAAGTACCAATTGAAATTCGTCATTTATGGCAACCAATTATGAAAAATTTTATATTAATTAAATGTTTTGGACAATATCCAACAGATCAAGATCTTATTTATCAAGTTGATCATATATCAATATTAGGTAATAAAGCAATTGGTGGTATACCAACATATTATTATCCATTTTTAAATCAACCTGGTTATCGACAACCATATGTATGGGCACAATTTATTAAAATAGAATCAAATGTTTTATTAAATATTATATGTCGTGCATATGCAAGAAATATTCGTCATAGTACAGATATTGAAGATATGACTGGTGCTGTGCATTTTGAAATATTTTTTGAATAGTATGACTGTTTTATTAATCAAAAAAGAAAACACAATTTATACACGAACCAAAAAACAGCAAAAACAACAAGTCAAGAATAAAGAAGTCAAAATTTGAATTTCATTTTTTTAGCTGCATCACTACCGCTACTACCACCTCCTTTAGTATTTGTATCTGTTTGTTTACTTTTACGTTTCTAGAAAAAGAAAATAGATGATTAAAGAAATAAAAATTTTTTTTTTTGTTTTGTTGTTTTAAAATTTCAAACAAACCTTATTTTGTTTATTTAAATGATCTGAAACCATATCACTAAGATCTTCTTTAGCTAATTCTTTATCTTTTAATTCTTGTCGATAACGTGCTTCAAGTGCTTGACTATTCATATCAAGTTCATCTGGATTAAGTGCAATATCAACACCACCGGATGTTTCAGTTCGAATTGTAGATGATGATTGACCCATTTGATCTTTTCGTATAGCTTGAAAATCATAAACACGATTTGTTGATAATAAAGATGATTGTCCAACACCAACATTTTTTTCAGGTAAAACTGTATAAAGTGCTGGTGTTATATCACCATCCATTTCAGCATGAAAACGAGATTTACGTAATTCGAACTAAATTAAAAAAATTAATTAAGAATATTTCATTGAATAGAAAATATTAAAGGTTCTCTGCAAGAATAAAATTGATCAAACTTAAATCTTTACCACAAAATGGTGAGAAAAAAAAAATTTTTTTTAAGTAGTTCTTCAAAAACTGTTGGACTTCCTTACGATTCCGAACCTTATTTGTCCAATCGGACTGAAATTTTTTTCTATAGATACAAAATCTCAGCGGTATTTTTTAGTTTTTTGAAAAATAACGCTGAGATTTTGTTTCAAATATGTCCAAAAAAAAAAGATATCAGTCGAATCGAACAAAGTAAGACAAGGATCATAAGCAGATCCAATGATTTTTGTAATTAGATATTCGATTTTCTCAATTGAATTTGAAGATTTTATATATCCAACTATTTCACAAAAGAAAAATATGAAAAAGTCAATTAATCTATAAATCCGATATGGATTCTTCATTCAAATATTTAGACTATTAGTTAACTACAAAACTATGCTGGTATAATGTCATCAGTCGAATGTGTTTGCAAATTCGTCAGCAAAAAGTACTAGCCAACTCGATCAGATATGGTTTCTCACCGAAATTTCAACATGCTTTCTTTTTTGTCACATGGATACTATTCCGTTGTTCTATGTTCATCAATTGCTGCTAACGACTGAGGCTTATACACTTCTCTAAAACGTGCATATTACTGTCTGAGCTGAAAGAATTTCTTTATCGTTTCTACTGATGATGAACGATCACTAAACATTCGAAGGTCTTTATGGCAGAATGGTAGAACATGATTTTGTTATTTACACAGAATAAAACGATTGGTTTCACTACAATGTGGATATCATCTCATAGGATGATAAATTCAACAGTTTCTCTTTGGGACAATACCAAAGAGCTTTATCAAAAAGGACACAAATGTTAAATTCATTACCTGTTGTGGTGTTTCTGTACCAAGTATTGATGATTGTGTACCTAGAAAAATAAAATAAAATTTATTTCAAAAAAAAAACAAACAAATTAAAGAAAAACAATTAGCTAACCACTTGGTGTAACAAAACCTTCACTTCCATGTGGTGTTTGAAATCCAGCTGGATGTATATTTTGTTCTTGTTCTGTTGTAGGATGATGATGATGTACATGATGATGAGCATGTTCACTAGCTGTTGGTGCACTTATTTGTCCTTCAGTTGTTGTTTCACCATCAAGACCTGTATCTTCTGTTGTTTCTTCTTCATCTGATGAACTAACTGCTTCTTGTTCTTGTTCTTCTTCTTCAATTTCTCCCCAATAATTTTTATCAATATGTTCTTCTTCATTCATACTACGTATATAAGCAAATTGATTTGTACCAAATACATCACCATATAATGGTCGACCATGTTCATCAACAGGTGGTTTACCCCAACCACCACTATGATAACCAAATTGACAACCTTCTGGTATAGGTGCATTTAAACCAGGTATTTTTAAATTAGGATAACTTGGTGGTGGTCCATAACGTTGCATAGCAATTAACCATGGTGGTGGATATTTATCAGCTGTTGGTCCAACTGGTATACCAAGTGCGACACGTAATTCTTCACTTAAAATACCTGGTTTTTTATCTTTTAAACGTGTTTCATTTTCTTTTCCTTCATAATATAAATCACCATGTATTGACATTCGTGGTTTTGTTTGCCAACGAAAAAAAGCATCATGTAATTTTTGATAATCAATATCAATTTTTCCTAATTTCGGACGAACTTTTTCACGCATTTTTTGTTTTAATGTTTTATTTTGTTCTTTTTCTTGTAGAGCTTCACGCATTTCCATAATACCCGTACGACGTATAAAATCAGGTAATTGGAATGGTGGTTTTTCTATACCACGTTTACCTTGTAAATATTTACGTTTAGCACACCAATGACGTGGTACAGGAACTGTATTACGTGTAGCCTAGAAAATATTTTTAAAAAAAAATTTTTTTTTTTTTTGATAATTTATAATTGACAAAAAAAAAGGAACAAAGAAAACTTACTTTAAGATGAACAAGTAATTTAGGATCTTTAGCTGTAACATCAAACATTTCAACAACATCAGGTCTTACAACAAGTTGTTTTAATTGTGCAACACTAAGACGTGTTTCACGTTTCATTTGTTTTTTTGATTTTTTTTTTTGTTCATCATCATCTAAATCTTTTTTCTTTTTATCATAATTAATTGTTTCTTTATCATCATCATCATCATCATCATTTTCTTCCAAATTTGTTTTATCACGTGGTAAAAGTGTTTTAGGTGCAAGAACTTTTTTACCATATTTATTATAATAATATTCATTATTATTATCATCATTATTTTGATCTAATTTAAAATTTTCAAATACTTTAACAAAATGTGTATAATAACCATCTCCACGTTTTATTGGAAGATCTTCAGGAACATAATCAATTTCAACACTTGTTGTATTATTATCATTATCATCATCATCGGATCCAGATTTTTTTTTCTTTTTTTTATCATCAATTTTATTATTTTCTTTTGCTAATGAATCAGAGGATGTTATTGATGAAGGAGTAGTAGTAGTAGTAGGTTTACTCTTTTTTTTAGCACGCCGACGACGACGTCGTTTTTCAACATCTTTTTTAGCTTTTCGTGATAAATTATTTTGAGATGTTATTTCTTCATCAGATTCATCATAATAATCATCATTTTGTTCAATACCAGAATCAGTTTGATGACCAGCACCACCACCACCACTGCTATGTAATTTTGTTACACGATCTTCTTCATGCTGATTATCACGAAATTTTAAGACACGTTCCATTGTTGATGGAAGACGAACATCATCCTATTTAATCATTAAAAAAAGTTTTTTCTTTTTTTTAAATCAGAAAAAAATAAAACAAACCCTATTTGGCATAGCCATTAGAGGTGGAGGACCACCACTAAAATTTCGTCCTGGTAGAGACCAATCTAGAATATAGAATGAATAAGACATTTTTTTTTTTTTGTGTCAAAAAATTCTTACCAAATGGTGGCAAATTATTATTCGATGAACTAAAATGAAAGAAGAAAAATGATTTTTATTTTAGGTGAATAGTTGATATATAAAAAACTGTTCATATAACTTTGTCCTAGACGAAAAACTCAAATAAAATATTTAATTATACTATTCGATAAGAATTCGAGTTGTAAAATTTATATACTCATATCTCAGGTTTCTTCGTACTTCTAGCAGAAGATAGCCGACAGTTTAAGTATCAAACTATCACCAGTACAACGTGTATTATATCGAATGATTTGTCGGATTTGAGAGTCACATAGATATACATTTAAAAATGATAATCTATATTTTTTACGCATGCATAACGGCTCCCTAGGGGCCAGCTTTAAAGGATAACCAGGTATATCGAATCTCCGGAAAGTCACTCGAGTTAGAAAAAAATTGAATATCTCCGCTACGACTCCAGCAAACGGACTGATCTTTTTATCAATAAGAGACATGTTCATACTTCAAATCTACACGGACAAGATTTGAGAGAACCTTTGTTAAATATCATCAGTAACCTTAACAAAGTTTGCTCGAGCCGTAGTAGATCTCTCTGGATGTTCTTTCATGGATAGCTCCATATAGGATTATTAAAAAGCACTGTAAATCAATAGAATTACATATTTAAAATATTCAAACACAATATATTAGATCCAGTATCAATTGTAGGGATCATACGATTGAAAATTTATCTTAAAATATAAACTTATTCTTACGAAATAAATTCTAATAGTTTACATTGCATCAAAATAGTGAAAATCTTGTCGATACACTATCTCTCCTCAAAAAAAACATTCTTAACTTTATTCAAAAACAAAAAACAAATTTCAATTCACTTACGATGATGGCGGCTGTTGATATGACATTCTCTATTTGTTTTTTTTTGTTGCTTTTTAATAATCTGAAAAAGAGAAAAAAAAAACAAATTATTATTTTTAATTATGAATGAAACAACAATTATTTCTAATATTCAAACAACAGTAGAAAATCCTTTATCAAATATATCCTATCATCATGAAAAAATTTCAAATAAATTAACGAATACTGTTCCACCACGTCTTATGTCTGAAACAGTTCAAGATATTTTAAATACATTTATATTTTTTGATTTAAATGCAAATCAATTCATTGAAATAAATGAATTAAAACGTATACTTAATGCATTAAATTTTAAAAGAACAACTGATGAATGTCATGAAATAATTAATATATATGATTTAAATAATGATCAAATGATTGATTTTCATGAATTTATATTTGGTTTAGCTCGTTTAATTAAACATGATGTTTTTACATTAATTGATATACAACAAAGATTTAAGTAAATTAAATCTTTCTATTTTTTTTTTCTCATTTGGAATCAAATATGAATTAGTTTTTTTTATTTTTGTTTTAAAGTAAATTTGATGATGATCAAGATGGTAAAATTACAATTACTACTTTACCAATATTATTACGTAAAGGTTTTGGTATATCAGTTAATGATCGTGAAATATTTGATTTACTTGCAAAATTTGATATAATTAATGAAACAACAAGAATATCATTTGAAAAATTTATTCGTATGCTTCAATTTGCTGTTCGACAAGGTGAAAAATTACAAGCACCAGAATATATGAAAAAATTAAATCATCGTTGTGGACCAGCATTAAGAAATATTCATTATAATGATATGAAATTACTTAAAAAAAGAATGGGAGGATATCTTTCATCATCTATGGACGACACAATAAATAAATGAATGAATTTCTGTTCTATTGGATATTTTCATTTAACAAATGATTATTATTGTTGAATATAATAGCGACATCTATAGATTTACAATTGTCTGTATAGTCACTTTCAAAGTCCATCTAAAAATAGATCTTAGTTTTTAGCACGTGCTTCCACAATCAATACATTGTAATATTAAAGATGGTATTTTCCACTATTACAAAAATATTCCATTTTATGATATTTTACAATAGTAGAAGATGAAACGCCAAGTTTAACGTCATCATATTATACAATGAAACACAGTGGAACATCTGTTAAATAAATATCTTCGAAATCTATTTTTAAATAATGGCGTAATAAATAATTAAAGTAGTTTTTTTTTAATTTTTACTAAGGTATGAAATTTTTTCCTAGTGAACTGCAAAACACAGTAGCTTTTCAAAATGATAACTATCTTAAATACTTTGCTTTTGCTTGAGATATTTAATATGAAAAGACTGAACAGAATCAACGTTTCTAATCAATAAATTATCTTTTGATACTTTGTTTATACTAGTAAAGTGTACGTGTACGCCTTCTTATTCTGTAAGGAGAGTGTATTAAAATGTACAATAACGAAGTTTTTCTAAAGAATATATTAAAGAAAAACGAAAACAAAAATAATCTTTTTCTCTCGAATAGTTTTTCGTAGTAGAAGAGCCTAAAAATTTGACAGATTATTTTCCAACAACGGTTCGAAATTTTCGTAGATACAACGCAGCAAATGCGGGAAGGCTAGCTCACTCCATCCTCTTTCACATCGACACCTATTTATCAACGACAAAATGATTTTGCGAATTGCAGTTTTGATGTACGCTTTCATGTGTAGTCAACCATACAAAAAATGAGGTTCTCAGAAGGTTTTCAGTTCGTTGCGCTGCTCATTTTCATAAGAAAATGAAAATTCAAATCTATTCGATAGATGATGGTGCTAAGACCAAAATACTCAAAAACTTCGGCTATTTCTAATTGCTGCTGAGTCGTAATTGACGTTTTCGAGTATTTTAACCAAACTATCATGGTTTAAATTGAGTAAATTGTTTTTTTTTGCCAAAATGATTAGCGCAACGAATTCTTCAGATGAAAAAAAATTTTCTGAGAACTTTGTATGTTTTACGATTGACTAGTCATGAAAATACCTATGAAAATGTCGTTGGTAGTGTTACATACACTAATTCGATTATAATCAAAAAAATTTTCACTGTAGCAGAGATGTTTCAAAGTCACCAAAATTGGACGCAAATTGGCCTTTGTTGTGCGAATTGGTGAGCAAGAAAAGCATTCAATTTTGTTGAAGAAAAACGAAAATTTTCCAAGATCGAGAACGTGTCATCTGCATCTCCCTGCTCATTGAATAATGCGATAAAAAATGCATAAAATAGGATGTATATCGAAAGTACTAGATGCTTTCTACATCGGATATTAGCAATATACGTTAAAGAGAGCTACTAAAATCTTGTTTTATTATTGGATATTTATTTTGATCAAATCATATTTAATGATAGTGTTTATTTGTCAGTACATTAGTGTCCTCTATAAATAAATTGATCTGTTATGTGAACATAATTAAAAATTTTTTTTTGTTCTTAATTTTAAAAATCTTTTTCTTTTCATTTTATTTTTTAATCAATAATAAACAATTTTGAACGAAATTTTTTTTTTTTATCAATGAATTAATTAATCAAATGACTGAATATTGTATGTATTTGTTCTTTCCTTTCTCTTGTCAACTAAAATGAGTCATCATTTCTTACTACAAGGCATTTTTTTTCTCGTTTAAATAATATAAAAATCAATAGAATACGATTGAGTTGAGATGACAACAAAACAAACGTAAAAATTTTTTTATTTATTATTACAATACATGAAGTCGAACGAAGTATTATATATAATAAATTTATAGAAATTTTTATTTTTATTTGTTTTTCTTCTTAAGCCAAATGCATCGAACAGTAGTTCAAATAAACCACCACCTTATCCTGTCGAAAGTTCAACAGTGATTAATAATTCATCAATACCTGATCGAGATACAGCTGATATAGTCACGTATGTAAATATATTATAAATTAAAATAAATAAAATAAAATTATTTTAATAATTAGTGCTGTTCAATATGGTTTCTATGAACGTGTTATTGAATTAATTGAAATTAATCCACAACTTGTAACAACACCACTTGATGATAATATAACATTACTTCATTGGGCAGCAATTAATAATCGTACTGATATAGCTAAATATTTAATAAATAGAGGAGCAAAAATTGATGCTCTTGGTGGTGCACTTAATTCAACACCATTATATTGGGCTGTACGTGATGGAAAATTAGAAATGACTGTATTTCTTTTATCGTATGAAGCACAAACTTCTTTGGTTGATGGTGAAGGTAAATTAATTATAAACGAATTAAAAATTTAAATGTTCTACATTTTTTTTTTGTTTTGTTTTTGGTAAATTAGGTTTTTCATGTATACATTTAGCTAGTATTTTTGGTCATACAGCTATTGTTGCTTATTTAATTGCTAAAGGAGAAGATATTAATTTACCAGATAAATTTGGTATTACACCATTAATGCATGCTGCTCATGGAGTGAAAAGGTATAAAGAAATTTATTTTATTTTTTAATAGTCAATAAAATAAAAATTCATTTATTTAGTCGTGATCCAACTCAAATACTTGTTCGGTAGGATAAATATTTGAATTTAGTTTAATATACTTATATTAATTATAAATTATTGTTTGACATGATTTGAACTTACAAGAGAAAGCATCGATAAAATGCTTACAAGTAGATCTCAGTAGTTCGTTTCTTTAAGTTGTCCTGCTCGAATTACGACCGTTTTCTGCCTCAGACATGGCATATATAAAACAAATTCATTGATGAAATTTTGCTCATAGGTAGATCTGATGGTCACTACAATGTCCTAAAATGATTTTATGAAATTCTAATAGATTTTGAAATCTTAAATTTGCTATTAATCTTTCAATCTCAATGCATACAGATCTTAGAAGATGATACTATCATCTTATCAATAAAACGTCTATATATATATATATCACGTGTTTTGATAAAGAATGAAAAAACTATGACCATGATACAAAAAACATTAAACTTGAATGTAACGAGTATAGACATTTTCGATAGAGATCAGCAAGGTCGATTGATGATAATTATCGTGAATCCGATTTCTATATATATTGTGTTACTAGAGTATATTCAATTGGAAATCAGATCATATGTATTCTATTAGAAAATGTCTATAAAAAAAATAAATATATATTCAGTATCCAACTATGATGTATTTTAATTATTCTGTCTAATCTCAACAATACTATCAGGGAACTCATTATTTAGACTTGGTGCATCTATAAATTATCAAAATCCAAATAATAAATATACTGCTCTTCATTATGCTATATCTAGTAATAATCTTGAAGCAATTCGTGTGCTACTTGATGCTGGTGCGAAAACTAGTATACGTAATGCTAATGTAAATTTTTTATACTATTTTTTTTTTTTTTTTTGTTTTATTTTATATCGCTGTTTTTCCTTTTCTTTTAGAATGAAGATGTAGTTGATTTTGCAGCTAAATCAACTAATAATCGTTATTTATTATTTCTTTTAAATGAATTAACTTCTTCAAATACTCATTTACCAAGATGGTTACAAATTAATCGTTCAATACGTTGCTTTGGAACAAAATTCTTACCATATATTATTCTTATACTTGTTGCATGTATATTAGAATTAACTTTATGGTTTGTTTATAAAATTTTTCTTATACTTGTTTTGATTTTATTAACACGTGGTTATATATTGTAAGAACAAAACAAAAAAAATTTAATATGAATAGAATTTTTTTTTTTTTGAATTACTTGTTTTATTTTAGAATATTCTTTGACGAAAATGTAAATCGAGATTTACCGATTGCTATTGCACAAGCATCTATATTTTGGCTCTATGCATGCTATCTATATTATTTTCTACCATGTAAAATATTCTATTTGTCTTTTTGTTTTTAATTCTTTTGTATATTTAGATGTACATGTAATATCTTTTAATTTTGTTGGACTTGCTATATTTACATATTTTTCATGGAGTAATTATTATCGTGCACAAAAAGTTGATCCAGGTTATATTACAATGAATAGTGAACAACAACATCGAGTATAATAGATTTCAAATATGAAAGATAAAAAAAACGAATCTATTGGTTTTTTTGTTTGTTTTAGATAATTATTCAATTAATTGAACAAAATTTATTTGATAATGAACATTTTTGTACATGGTGTCTTGTTCAACGACCATTAAGATCAAAACATTGTCGAGAATGTCGACGATGTGTAGCAAAATTTGATCATCATTGTCCGGTAAATGATATTATTGAAATTTTTCTAGATCGAATAGATATGAGGAAACTAAAATAAAAACAAAAAAAAGGAATATTATAGAATTCAATTAACATTTTAAATTTTGAGAAAATTCAATTGAACAATAACGGAAACTAAATAACATACAGTGTATTGTATTTCACAGAGATCGATTCATTCATGTTTTTATTTCTTTTAATGATGATTCTCGTCAGTTGTCAGCTCTTTTTTATTCGGAATTTATTTCAAAATAGTCACAACTCTCTTATATTATTATGTTAGAGCAGCGAAAGAGTGTTCAGACTGAATAAAGCTCTATTGGCCGAAATCAAATCAAGTGTAGAAGTCTTCTAATTACCTTATAATGCTATACGATCATATGTTTATAGAGAATATTCGAATTATGATTTACACGAATAAGCGATCAAATTTAGATCTATACTACGAAAAAGAACAGTTTACATCTTTCACAGACAAGTTAAATAGCTGGCATTATCATATCTAAGATTTTACTTTCATTGTGTCTAAACTACAGAAATATCTTGAAAAAAAAACAATTCTTTAAACTCTAAGTAAATATGAATTTATATAAATCGTTTTCGTTTTTTTTTTCTGGTAGTCAAATAAACTATCGGGAAAAAAACACATTCATTTTTTTTTTTCGAATATGTCTATCTATAAAAAGACTAAAATAAGAAATCGCAAATCTCAATCAAAGCTAAACAGAACGCAGAAACAAAAATAACAACAACAGTAGCAACAGTAACAACAATCTATCCTTCAATTCCGTCGAGAAAAAAAACGATCGGTCTATTTTTATGATTATAAAGAAAAATAAGAATAGTTTCCTTTGCTTTGTTTGGAATATTAATGATGACAAATACTCTTTCTATATGATAAGAATTATTGAAGAGTCAAAACAATTAATTTGACATGTCATTTCTAGTGGGTTGATAATTGTGTTGGCGATAAAACTTTATCATATTTTACTGGTTTTGTATTTTTTACACCATTATGTCTTTACTTTTTTCTTTATGCTGCTTATCAATGTAAGTTAAAATAATATTTTTTTTAATTACATTTTATATAAAATTTTATTATCTAGATTTTCGATTGCATTGTAATATATTATCATCAGAAACAATAATACAAATATTTTTGTGTAAACCATCAGTGACATGGTTCACATCAATTGCAATTTTTCATACTATATGGATCAGTGGTCTTTGTATAACACTTCTTACTCAAGTAATTTTATTATTATTATTATTATTATTATGTAAGTTATTATTTATTTTTTGTTTTATTATTTAAGATTTTAGGTGGTTTTACAACTAATGAACGATTTAATTTTTGGCGTTATAAATATATTAAATCATCAACATCAAGTCCATTTTCATTTGGTTGGAAACAAAATTTAATTGATTTAATTAATCGACGTATACTTTGGTGTACACCAACAAATATTGATTGGACACGTATATATACAATAGATGATTTTAATGAATTAAGTTCATTACGATTAAGACGAACAATAAATTCATCTTTGAATAATTCTTCAAAACATTTATTCAATATTTAATATGTTGAACAGTGAATAAAAAAAAGAAATCAAAGACAGAACATCGATATATGTGATCGAATGAAATGTGATACGCAATTTAGTTCCATGATGCCTTGTTTTTCTTCTTTATTTTGTCTTGTATTAACTGATGTTGATCGAGTCAGAAAGGAAAAAGAAAATAATTCAATATGCTATTAGATTTTTTTTTCTTGTTCTCTTTCCGATAAAAATTAAGAACTTCTTTTTTTTTTTGATAAAAAAAAGTATTAAAATCATTCTTTTTTGTTTAATAAGGCTAAATGAATTGTCTTTCTCTTTCATATTTTTTCTCCTTTCTATTAATATTAAATCTCTTCGTGATTAGAAGAGAAAATCAAGCTATTGCGATATACTCATAGAACAAATTATGACTATCCTTGACATGAGAAGGCACGCGGGAGTAATTTTTTTTCCTTTTCTCCTTCTTTTCTTCTGTTTGCATTTTTTGTATGCAAGACTTCTCTTTTTCTCGTGTGTTTTTATGTTTCATATTTATAAGTACCATAAGTATGCTGTTAGTCATTGTCGATGTGCGATGATTGCTTATTCATAACATTTGAATTTTGGAAGCCATATAATTTTTCTTTTTGTCATATGTCATATTCCTCTATATGAGTAACTTAAATATAAAAATAAATTTGTTTTCTTTTTTTTTTTTTTTTTGTTTTTTAGATATTTAATGGCTACATCTAATAGAAATTTAGATAAAAGTCCATCTGCATTAATACGTCATAATGTTCGGCAACTTAAAGAACAAACACAGAAATTACAAACAAATGCTAAAGAAGCTGTTCGACGTATGCCTGTTGTATTAACTGAACAACAATTAAAGCGTTTAAAAGAACATAAATATGCATCCGAAGGTATAACATTATTTGATCCAATTATGCAAGAATTTTGGAAATGGCTTGTTGAATATTGTCCATTATGGGTTGCACCAAATCTTTTAACTATTGTTGGATTAGCATTAAATATTGGTACAAGTGTTCTACTTATGATAGAAACAGATGGTGCCAAAGAACAGGTAGATAAATTTTTTTTTTTTTAGTTAAGCATAGTAATTAAAAATATATATCATAGTGTTCACGATGGATATATTTTCTTACGGCACTTGGCCTTTTTATTTATCAATCACTTGATGCTATTGATGGTAAACAAGCACGTCGAACAAATTCTCAATCACCATTAGGAGAACTTTTTGATCATGGATGTGATTCTGTATCAGCTGGTATATGAAATTTTTTGTTTATTTGAGTTAGAAAAAAAAAAAACTTTGCGATTCATTTTTTAGTATTTGTAACAATTGCTTGTTGTTGTGCTGTTCAACTTGGTGTTTATCCATGGCTTATGTTTTGGGCATGTATATTATCATATTTTGCTTTTTATGCTGCTCATTGGCAAACATATGTTTCGGGTAAACTTAAATTTGGAAGGTAATGTAGAAGTAAAATTTTTTTTTTTTGAATTTCATATAAGAATTATGTTTAGACTTGATTGTACTGAAGCACAATTCTCATTTATTGTTGTTTATTTTATCTGTACAATATCACCAGGTTTTTGGTCGAAATCGGTAAAGAATTTAATAGAATAAATAGTTAATGGTTAGTGTTGTTTTTTTTTTCAAGATACCTTATTTACAAATTGAATATCGTATATTTGTTGCATTATTAATGATTGGTTCAACACTATGGAGTTCATTTAATAATATTCGTGCTATTTCACAGGGTGGTTGTGGAAGAAATTTTTCATCTGTAGCTGTAAGATATTTGCTTTTTTTTTAGATTTTATTTTCATGTTAATCGTTATTTTTGTTTTAAATATTAAGGGTACAAGTATTATTTTTCCTGGTTGGCCTATTGGTTTTGTTATTTTTCTTGCTGTTGTTGCTTCCAATTATTCAACATCGAGAGTACTTGAAGAACATACATCACTTCATTTACTTTGTTATGGTATTGTCTTTTCAAAAATTACAAATCGTTTAATTGTTAGTAGTTTGTTTTATTTTTTGTTTTTTATTGAATTATTTATTCATTTAATAAATTCAATATTATTTTATTAAATTAGGTTGGACATATGTCAAGAAGTCCATTAAATGGATGGGATACGTCCTTTGTTGGGCCATTGGCTGTTTGTATCAATCAATATTTTAATTTATTCATTGATGAACATATTTTACTTTGGCTCTTTCTCGTAAGTTGTCTAGAATTTTTGTAGAAAAAATATATATTATTTGTAAGATATCAAAAAGGATAGTTAGAAGACAAAGATATTTCCAAAATTCAAACTTTCTTAAGAAAAAAAAAGTTTGAAGATCCGATGTAGGTGGATTGCTCATTTTATGAGAGTAATTGTTTGGATGATAGTATAGAAAAAAATATAAATTTTTTTTTTGCTCAGAAGTTAAACATGCAAATTAAAAAATATTTTTTACTATTCTATAGAGCTCGACTTGGAGATTGAAAAAATGTACTTGATTTGTTTGTCGAACAGTTTAATTTTGTCAAATATCAATTTTCTTGATGACAACACGATTTTCAGGCTAATTTTTGGGCAATTGGTTTTTTCGGTTTCTTTAAAGGGTTATAATAAAGTTATTTATACCATTAGATAGACTTTGTTTCAAAGTATATTTCTCCATATTTCAATCTTGCAAATCGCTATTTACATTTTTAGCCAAATGCTCACCTAGATGCACAATGTGCAACCCTTCAAAAATCGACTATGACTCAAGGACATTTAAATCACATGAAATTTTCAGGATATAATGAGGTTGTAGCAGAGATCCTATGATAAAATTTTCAGCTCTATAAGACCATATTTTTGCGAGATATTCGACTAGCAAGAGTCAAAACTAGCTCATTTTGTCAATCCTAAATTCTCTGAGTCTTCATTCTATAGAGTTAATTTATTTTTGTTTGAAAGAGTTTAACAGTAACAAAGCTTAATTTAAAAACGGACTCTGTCATGCCCTGTATCTTGACATAATCGTTCAAACAAAAACAAAAAAGCCATTGGCTATAATGAAGCTCTTGCGAGAATTCCGAGATGTTCAATCAAAAGAGACATAAACAAAGAAAAAGCGAAAAAGCATAGGTTTCAAGAAGAAAATCTTTCCATGTATTTATCTCAATTTTCATGTTTTTCAAGAAATTGACTTTTTTTTAGACAGAACTTTAAAGAAGAATCTTAAAGTTTGATTGCAGAATAATTAGAAACAAAAAATTTTGAATCAAAATAAAAGGAATCATGAGAGTAGAATAACTCGAAGAAGATTAAATCTTTTGAACTGATTTATATCTTTTATTTGAGTAAGGAGTGTTTGCGAGAGGTTAAGAGCGAGTTCACGTTTCTTGTGTTTGATTTCACTTAGTAGAATAGCTTGGTAGCAGTTTTGAATGACCATCTGAGTATTTTAATGAGTAATGGATTCTCGAAAGAGGACAAAAATTGATAAAAAGCCGTCTCTTTTACATGTTTTGAAAAATTCTAACTTCATATAGGAATGCATTCTTACTTATAATAGACGTATGACGCTGTCTTATTTTTCTAATATAGTTGAACTGATATCGTGGCAAGGATTTGAGAATGAAGATTGTAGTATTCACAGCAGCTTTGAACTATAAATATGCAGAGTTTTTTTTACGTATCTTGTACACTGACTAAGAGAAATTTTCTAACCTTCACTCTATACATCTGTACTTTGAACTTGTTTCGTGTTTGTCTAAATTATAGATGTTTTATGTAATGGCATTGATTTATTTGTAAAAATAAATTTGCAAATTGGAATCTACTCAAATCACCTTCAAAATTTATAAAAATAAAGTTCTCAATGTAACTTATTCATTGTGAAACTATCAGATTTTTCAATATGTTCTACTTTGAGATATTAATAATGAACATTCTCTTACATAAAAAAGTAAACTTCCTTCTGAAATATATCTCAGGATAAGAGATACTAGAAAATCTAACACTTTCACAATGTACTAGTCTTGTTGAGAAGTTAACTTATGCAAAGTTTGCATTCGAAAGTCAATTTTGAAAGTTATCTGAGAAGGATTAAATTATTTTGTCGAAAAACTCATTAAAATGACAATAAGTTCCAAATATAAAGATTCATGGATACAAGTCATTTGAGACTTTCTCTTTTTAATTCATTAGACATTTCGATGAATCATATTTTAGTTCAAAATTTACGGATTTCATTTTTACAGACAAAGTAGTATTATAAGATTAGGATACAATGAAACGATTACTACTCAATTTCATTTATCAAAATTTTCCTTTTCTATCTAATAAAACTAATTGAGTAAAGTTTTTTTGACTTCGAAAATTTTTTTTCATAATGGTAACTTGCATAAGGAATCTAAATAGTGACTTGAGAATAGAAAAACTTGTTTCCGACAAGGATTTGGAAGAAATAAAAATTTCTTCAAATTCAAAATCTTCAACAAGACACCAAACTTATCTTTTCAGTACTTACAACCTAAAAATAAAAGCTTCTTATGTTTACCTGAAAATAACAGAGCAACTAATTTTCTACAACAAAACCGTGGAAGTCGTTACAAACCATCATAATCGGTCAGCTTTAGTGTCCCAAATAAAAAAAAATCCGTTGGTCTGGTTCCAAGTATGACCACTGTATACTTCTTTATTAGTGAGAATGTCTCTCCTTGAAACTTATGAATCTATAAAGTTTTCATTATGTAACATATGCAGCATAAATTTGTTGCTATGTAAGAGTAAAAATACTTGACTGTTTTAATAATGAAATTCTAACTTCGATTCAGGACTCTAGTCTATTACATATGATCATAAATCCTTCTGAAATATTTAGATAATAACTATATTATATTTTACTTATTTTTTTCTTTAGCTTTACAATCTATATGATCTATTGCGGTACAACATTAAAGTTTGTCAAGAACTTTGTGATTTCTTGGATATTCACTGTTTTCGAATAAAACCATCGACGACACCACCGACTAATCAAAATCATTAATACTTTTTAAAACATTATTCTTTTTCTTTTCTTCTTTTTTTTTTTTTGTCTTTTGTTCTCTTAACACTATCTTCTTGTTTGTATCTCGACTAACTGTTGTATCTTTAGATCATATATTGTCTTTGTTCGTATTATCTTATTATTTTAAATGTTTATTACGGAAATCCAGCATGAATAACACAAAATAAGAAAATAACATACAAGCAAATTAGTTGTTTCTTTTTTTTTTCTATTCTAGAAATAAATTCTTTTGTTTTTTTTTCAATGGCAAATGATAATGAACCAACTACATTCGAAGAAGCATTCGAACGTTATATTGAATATCGAACACGTTTTGAACGTCTTGAAAATGATTTCGATGAATATCAACAATCATCATTAAATTATGAACAAGAATTAGAAGTACAATTAAAACAATTAGATAGTCAAACACATCGTTTACAACAAGAATTATTTGTTGAACGTACACAAAATGAACAATATCGTGAACGTAGTGAACAAACAATAAAACAATTTGATAAACGTCTTGATCAAGTACAAGAAGAATTAAATGCTTGTAAAAATTTAAATGAAAAATTGACAACTTATATAAGGGAATTAGAACAAACTAATGATGATCTTGAACGAAGTAAAAAAACAAAAATATTTTAATTTTTGAAAAATTTGTTTTTTTTTCTTTCTTCACAATAGGTAAACGAACATTACTTGATAGTTTATCAACATTTGAAACACAACTTAATCGTGCATTAGAGCAAAATGCTCTATTAGAAAATGAACTTGATGAAAAACAACAGGTTTTGAAAAAACAACAACTATTTGAAATAATTTTTCCAACTTTTTTTTTTCATTTTATAGTTAACTGAAACTGTTCAGCGATTACGTGATGAAACTCGAGATTTACGTGAAGAACTTGATGTATTACATAAAACAAACACAGAAAAAGCTATCAATGCAATGAATACGTCTATAAAAGGAACACCAATTGTAAATAGTAGTCGAATGAAAAGTATTCTATCCGAAGCAGCAGCTTCCGGGACAACATCAACATCTGATTCGACTAATCGACAAGGTAAACATTTATATCAATCGAAAATAAATATTAGTATTTCAATATGATTTAAGCTGGGCAAAAACCACTAATAGTTTGATACTTAAATGGTTGACTATCATCTGATCGTCATTCTACCGTAGCATACTGATAGTTGTTCTCCGACTTAGTATTGATAAGAAAAAAGCGAAGCCAGTGTTCCGATAACTAATCTTTCTGACATATTCTAACGAGATTCTGACGAGGAAATTATATGAAATGATACTCGCTGTTTGAGCTCATATTTTATCCATGAGAAGGTCTTGGTAAAACTAGAAAAAGTCTAAAAGAGATTCGTCCCCATAGACCTTGAGATTCGAGTTAAGATCATTTTATTGAATGTTCGGCCCAACTTTAGATATATAATTTTCAGGATATTCTAAGGACCATTTGATCCATATCTGGACAAAATTTTGCTTTTGAATTTTTTGGTATGTACCTAAAGCTGGATTGGAAACTCTGTAAAAGGATTCTAACTAGGCTTTAAAAAGCCCATGAGATTCAACTTTTTTTACACTTTTGATAATCTCATCAAGATGTGCTCGTAGGTGCAATATAAGCTCAAATGGCGGGTATCAACTTGGGTAGTTTCCTAGTGGTAATAAACGAATGTAAGGCTCGAGATATGCAAGCTACAATTAAATAATGGAAAGAAAAACTTGAAATCAAAGATCAAATGATTTAATATATTCATGGCAAATTGGAAACTACCGAGTCTAAATATTATGACTACCGAGACAAAATCAATGGTCTGTTAAAAAATATTTTATAACTATTTCTAATCCTCCACGATTCGGTTGATATATCTATTCCAGATGAGAACTGCTTCTTATTTATCATCACAATACAAAAGTTGAATAATGAATCGAAATCAAATAAACACTATTATCTTATCTTCTCGAGGATCTTCAGCACTTAGTCGCGTGCTTTCTTAAACCTTCTTATGCTGGATGTGTCGTCACTTTAGAATCATGTCGATCAGAGAGTGTAATAAAACAATATAATAATAAAAAATAACTATTCCTTCTGTGCCAATAGAGAAAACAATCTTTAATCCTGAAGCTTGCATCATAGAAATTGAAATTCTAAATTTTCTAGGCTTGAGCAATGGTCATCACAAAGTGCCATCGTCTTTACATGGACAAAAAAATGTTGTTTCCACTCCTTCCACACCAAAACCTCCATCATTATCTTCTGCTACAGATTTTACTCGTAATGTTATTCCTGGTTCCCCATCTTCATCAATAGAACAACAACAACAACAACTAACAACGAATATAAATAGTCCAAATGGTTATTCCACAACTCTACCAAATGATTTTACACAACCGTTATCAATTCCAACTCGATTACAATCTTTAAATTTAATCAATGAAGCATTTAGACGTTTTAGTGCTATTGAAGCAACATTAGCAGCACAACGTAAGCAATCTCAAATGACATCATCATCTATAAATTCACATCGTTCACGACTTAATTCAACAACAAATAATACTACAACTAAACAACAACAACAACAACAAAACAATGAATCAGCTATGGCTCAAGCACAATCTTAAATGATCATTTCAGATATATTTATATAAATATACTGATAGAGTTTATTCTGTGTTCTGTTTTTCGTTTTTCTTTTTTTTTGTTCAATTTCTCTCATTTTTATATATACATATAGCTATTTTATTGCTTTTCTTCATTCGTCGTCCTTGATGATGAACAACAAGGATAATTATTCTTTTTTTTTCCTTTCTATTTCATATTTTAGACGATATATATATATATATATATATATATATATAATATATCGGTCATGTCCGGAAATAAGAAGTCATCAACAATGATATCAACCAATAAGAAACGTGAAGAAACATCAAGTAAAACATATACAGTTGAACGTTTGCTTAAACAACGTAAACGAAAAGTAAATATTAAAAAAAAAAAAACTTTCTTGAAAATAATGAAATCTTGTTTTTTTTTCTCGCTAGGGTCGTATTGAATATTTAGTAAAATGGAAACATTATGATAAAAGTCATAATTCATGGGAACCCGAAGGAAATATTCTTGATAAATCTCTGATTGATAGTTATAAAAAACAAATAAAATCTACATCTCGACGTACTTCATCACCAAAAAAATCTATACGAAATCAAAATGATGATTTATCATCTGTGAAAAATGATTCTATTCATGATTGTAATGAGCAATTAGAAAAAGAAGATGATAATAATAAAGAAGATGATAATAATAAACAAGAAAAAATCATAAATTCAACTTCAATTGATTATTGGTATCCACCACCAATATGTGAACAAAAAGCAAAAATTGCAATAACTGATATTACATCTGATAATGTTACAATTACATTTCGTGAATTAATTTGAAAAAAATTTGCTTTATTTGTTTGTTTTTATAGAAATTTAAAATAATGTCAGATGAATGTGTGTTTTTTATTGTAAATTTTGAATAATATCAAATTGTTATTATTTGTAAATATGTAAATATTATCCGAATGTATATGCAAATTTTTTAATATTGTTAATGAATTTGATATAAATCGAAGTTGTTCATTATAATCGATGATTAACAAGCAGCAATAATGAAAATTGAATGTATTATAAAAATGATAATAAATTTTCAAATTGGATCTATTCGTCTCAAAAGTAAAGATGAAAATAGTATTGAAGATTAGTTGAATATTTGTCTTTTAGCTTTGTCGAAACTTGTTTTCTTAACTATTTATATTATTTTACAGTTTATAATCTATGATGAGAAGGTCTTTAGCGCAAAATATTCGTTCATTTTTCGATCACTAAAAGACAATTGATTAGAACCAGAAGTTTTCACTATTTTCGAATATGTGTTCAGATTTTTCTTCTGAGATAAGAATGAACAACTATCATGAAGTTTTGTGAAAAAGGTCAAAATTGTGTTTGTATGAAGCAAACTAGAGATTTTGGCGCAGATCTTTATTATTAGGGATAGTACTTTATTAGTAAATAGGTAAATAAAATATTTACTTATTTACTATTAGAGATGCACCAATGTCAATTCTTCGAATTGATCGAAATTCGAATTCGAATTGGTTAGGAATGGGGAGTTACCATTACCAGACAAGTGCGTCACCAGGTAACGAAAAATTCTTGGATTTGATCCTTTCATCAGAGACATACCCATCATCTAGAAATTAGAAATTCAAGAAAATCAAGTTAGATTCAGTTTTTGGAGCGCCCACATCGAGATTTTAGGTGCCAGTCTTTCAAGCTGCCTCATTATAGAGTGCCTTGAATTTTCAATTTCTGGATGGTGCTTACTGCTGGTTCATGACATATATTAATGAAACAGATGGAGTGTGTCGGTTGCTTTTACTTACAATGCAGTCTACATGCTAATTGCTTTTTCTTGCAAAAGATTGTCTATTTTTGCTACTCAGCAGTAATGATCTGATTAACCTAAGTAGTCAGGTAGTGTTTGTTTTAGATTCTTTGTAAAAGGAATCTCAAATTTGTTGAGAAGAGCTTCCTTCTCAATCCTTTCTTGTCTAATGGCTCCTATAGAAGGACCATTTTATAAAAATTTGGTTCTCTTGAATTACGAGACATTTAGAAATAGATTTTATATGAACTTAAAGCCTATCTAATGTGAACTTCAAATCTACAGTTTAAATCCAATCTTTATCATAAAAATAATTCCATCCACACCCATATGGTATTACTTGAAAAATGATCAAATATCACAGAAAATTTTTCTCAAGCTTTCTATACTACGAAAATAAAGCATCTTCGCCACTATTTTTGGACTACTCTAAGTTTATAAACAAATCCAAAGAAAGATATATTCATATTAAGAACGTATCCGGATTATTGATAGTTGGCAATCAAAACCTGATTCACAAAATTGTATGCATGTTATTACTAATGAAGAAAAGAAAATTAATTTCAATACATCTCATGCTAGATCAGGTGAGTTCTTTTCTTTTCTATTGAATAAAACATAAATTTTACTTGTGTTTCTATACTCTAAAAGCAAATATTCGAGGTATAGATAGTTCTTCTACACTATTATGCATTCACCATCAAGATTTATCAGTCACTTTCAGTTTTACTGCTTTAAAAGCTGAAAAATATGATAATAACAGGGACAAATGCTGGCAATTTATTATTGAATATGCTTATTCTAATTATAGCAATTTGCGTATCGTTGGATCGTTTGAAAGTAAAATTACGTGGTCGTGATTCATAGGAAGCATGCGTTTATGAAGAAGCAAAATTTACTATCGATACTTCACGAGCTTCGAATCCTAGTATTAATAAGTAGATTCTACCATTGATTATTGCACAGACAGATGTCAAAATTCGAATTTATCAAAACGAAAAAAATAAAAAAGATTTTTCGTTATTCTGATGAACCCATAATACCAGGTATAACACAATACAATTGTTAAAAAAATAAATCAAAATCTTTACTATATGTAACATTTTTGGATGATTATTTATTGAGTACAGGTATACCACTAATATGATGAATAATTTCGTTCGTCTTTTCATTTACTAGCTATTCATATATAGGATCATCCATCTTGATCCAGAAACAATGGATATAACTACGACTGAAGACTTCATCACGTATCTCTAGCAGCTTTAACAAGTCTTATAAATGTTTTAGTAAACGCTTCATAAATCTCTCATTTGTTGAATGCATAGGAAGTGGCCACTTAGAATTTACTTCCATGCAGATGGTTACGAATTTGAGCAGTTAGTCGACATGTAGAAGCGCTGTCAGATATTTCGTATCGTTGGCAAGACTTCCGAAGACATATTTTATCTCTTGGAATGGATATGAAAGAAATTCTTGATCTGGCTGATAGAGTGTGATGATTGCATTTGTAACATGTTTAATAAACACATCAACAATGTCGTTGGTGACAAACAGAGCTGCGAGTCCCGGATATCGAGCTGGAACAAACAAAAATTTGACCTATCCTGTAGTAAAATTAAACTTGGTGCCATCAACTTTGGCTTAACGTCTTGATCCCGATAGATGCAACCTTCAAGTATTAGTGGAATCAATAGATCATTCAATAGTCGCTCGTTATCGAACACGTTCAAATGTTTATTAGAAAGTAAAGATTTCATAGATTGCTACTGAGTCAGTTCAAAATTTCTATCAACAATCCATCTACTAGACACTTTCCAGAAAATAATAATGATAGAAAAACATCTGATTGCTGCTATTGTCTTGTGCCATTGTTTTAAGATATACTTGGAGAAAATCGAACTCGAGAAGCTTTATAAAAACGTGTCATAACTAGAAATGTTTATAGTTATATAATGAATACGAATTTAGAAAAATTAATAGTCTTGCATGAGTCGCTTTTGATTGAAGGACTAGTCTTATGAATATTGCATGACGACTGTCAGCCACATTTTTAGGACGGGTGCGCATGACAGATAGAAGTTTAGACTAGCTCTGAACTAGAATTCTTTCAGACAAAGACTAGACATTTCGGATTGGCATGGCTAGAAAAAAGATTAGTCATTGAATCCGTCTTTTGCTCACTTGGCTATGAATTTATTCTTAAACATCAATGTCCTTTTTATAGAAAACATCCCAAACAGAATTGATTGGTGCATGCGATGGAATGTATTCGTAGTTAGGAAGATCATAACCGAATGCTTTAATACCCACAGTTTCAAGGGCGCGCGGTGTAGTCATTGCTTCGGGTGCTGGAAGAACGAGTACCGAGACACGATAACCGTACTTGATCGTTTCGGTCGATACCGGTTCAGCAGAGTCTTGTTCGACGAGTGTGATCAAATCGGGTACAGTAGCTAGAATTTCTCCATCGTCAAAGCGTGCTATAAGATTTTCATTTTGAAAATCGATCACAAGATTTCTTCCAACTGTTTCAATAGTTAGATGACCTCGAGCAAATCCAGCAGCAGTATGTCGTTCGACACTGATCACTTTTCCATCGGATACAAGTACACGACCATGACCAGCACGAGCTACTGCTTGAATAGCATCAGAGCGATGATTGAATTTGGCCTCACCTATTTTGAAAGATTCGTATTTGAGACAAGAAAAACATATCTACTACTCACCTAGAAACCAAGCACGAGAAAGACTATAAGGAAACACATATTTTTGCAATTCTTCACCGGTTATTGGAGGCAAACAAACACCAACAAAGAGACCTCTTTTGGTACATTCCTCCCTAAAAGTGTCTTCGAGCTGTTGTGCAGTAGAAATCGTGGTATCTGTGCACATCACTGTTTCTCCTCGCACGTCACATAAGCATGCAGGTGTTGGACAACAACCTTGAATAAGGGCCAAAGTTTGATCAAGTCGAGGGAATGCTCTGCCGACTCCATCAGCATCGATACACGGTACTTGCTTGCTTGCTGCTACAAGAAGACCCATTAGACCATTGGAACCACCGATTTCCCCAGTGTAAATAGCACTGATGTTTTTCAATAGATATTTTTCGACAGCATTGACAGCTAGTAAACATTCATAACCATTCGGTAATAACTCATGAGAAACGGTGGGTGCACCCATGAAGCCAACAGCGGCTACTAGATCTAACGAGGAATGAAAGAACGAGGGAGGCACCACACGCATTTCGTATTTCTTTTCGCGAAGAGCTTCAAGGCACCACAGCTTGCAATGATACGATTCGCCCCCACCACCACAACCTACAAGAGAATCTTTGTCGATTTTTAAAGAAATTGAACTAAATAAATTACCGAGGATTCCGGTGCCATAGGCTATATATTCAATGTCGATTGGATCGATACACCAAACTCCATTGTCATCGAATACAGGTCGTTTCTTTGTCAGATCAACATGAATGGGTGGTTTGATGTCTTTGGGTGTCTCTTTTTCCACCTCTAAAAATGGCTTTTCAACACTTTTCTCTTGTTCATTTCGTTTGACTTTAGTCACGTCCAGTTGTCCGACAACTGTCAATTGTACTCGATGTTTGTGACCACTTGTATGATAAGCCAACGGTACTTGTTCTAATTCCACTAGATGAATGGTATCAGGATAAGCGCCTTTCTGCTCACACTGCTGACGAGCTTCGAAAATCAATCGATCGAGCTCACTTTTGCGCTGGTCTCCACCATCGATCGATGATGGAAGAAGATCAACAATCGAGTCGATTGTTGCACTTATTGAACAGAGAGCAGCGCCTACAGCATTACAAACGGCATAGTGAGCTGGTCGAATTATCTTTCAAAGTAGAAATGATTGATTAAACAAAACATCCATAAAGAATTACTACCTCTGTAACACCAGCAAAGGCTTGATTGATGTCCATGAGAATTGATCCACCACCACATAAGATGACAGGAACTGATTCTTCATTTGTTTCACACGATCGATGTTTCTTGTTGTCGACTGTTTAATATAATCGAGCACTTGTTCGACGATTGACGAAGAGAGTTTCACAGTCGAATGACCAATCTGCATTCATAATCGGTGAAGAATTTTCAAAAAGGTCGAAACTTACTCCTGAAGTTAATCCAGCAGCCAGAGCAATATCGGTAGCAGTAATCGTTTGACCACCAAAAGCCAATGCTGCTTGATCGAGTCGATAACCAACACTATCAGGTCCTACCCTGATCGATCCGTCATTTTCATTGACATGGATTATTGTACCACCACCCAATGGTAGAGAAACAATATCGGGCACACTGACATTGACTCGAATGTCATCAATCAGTCGCACATTCTTCATCAAATGTCCACTCAAAAAAAAAACCGAAATAAAGTTCAACAACTTACTGCTTGTGTTTGTCTTGGTCTTCCATTGACAATGAAACCAATGTCCATTGATGTTCCACCAACATCAATGACAATTCCATTGTCAATACCACTGAGATATGCAGCACCGATCATCGAATTTGTCGGACCGCTGGCAAAAGTGAAGACAGGCCAACGCATTGAATCTTCCGCTGATAATAAAGTTCCGTCATTTTTCGTGAGAAAGAGAGGAATTCTTCGTGGAAGATTTCCTTGTAATGCTCTGATTGTGCGAATAGCCAATGGACGAAGACTAGCATTGAGAATCGATGCATTCTCACGTTCAGACAGACCAAGACCAGCAATCTCATGAGAAAGAGTAATGTATGCAGTTGATGATTCTTCATGAATAATCTCGGCTACACGTTCTTCTTGATCTTTTTGACAAGGCGAGAAAACACCACAGACACAAAACGAAGAAATATCCAGAGTAAGAGCACGACGAACTAGCGAACGAATTTCGTCTTCATCCAATGGAGTGATTATTGAACCGTCAAGGAAAAAGCCACCAGAGACAAATGCTGTTAAACCATTCACCTAAGTATAGATGTCGAAAGCTCCACTTAAAACAAATCAAGTGTTATCTTTTACTGCATCCTTCAGATCCTGTGGCCAATTAGTCATAGGTGGAATTGCATGTGTTGCTGGTCCACAAAGACGCAGCGTGCACACTTTCGCCAATCCTTGTCGTTGAAGTAGTGCATTGACAAAGTGCGTGGTACCGACCATGATAGCGGCGATCTCCATATCATTGATAACTTGTCGCACAACATGAAGCATGCCCGAAAAGACGTCTGCGCTTGTCACTGTCTTCGCAGTGGCCACCACTTTGGGTGCTACAAATATCAATTGATTCAAAATTTTTGACCACGTGCAGAGTTAATAAAAATTACATTATTGAAAAGAACATAAAAAACTGTGTATATGGTGAAATTTTCAGAGAGCAATATGCTCAAGTTCCCGGCAAAAATTTTTTAAAAAAGATTCTCCAGCGAGAATCACGTCAATTTCTTTTTTTCTCTCTTTCTTTCTTTTTTCAGTGCATATGGGTATGTGTACATGTATACATGTGTGCATATGGGTATGTGTACATGTATACATGTGTGCATATGGGTATGTGTACATGTATACATGTGCGCATACGCATGTGCACTAAAAAAAAGAAGGAAAAAGAGAAAAAAGGCATTGACGCGATTCTCGCTGGAGAATCTTTTTAAAGAGTTTTTGCTGGGAACTTGAGTATATTGCTCTCTAAAAATTTCACCACATACACAGTTTTTTATATTCTTTTCAATAATGTAATTTTTATCAACTCGGCACACGATCAAAAACTTCGAACCAGTTGATATGTTCAATAAAAAAACGATAAATAGTCACAGAATTAAGTACTCACATTGATCAGAATCAATTCGTAGTAAGACAGCATCTAGCCAAATACAACAAGATGCAACATAAAAAAATCAGAAGCAAAAGATACTTACCTGTGTTTGTGCCTCCAACATCAACACCAACCACGTGCATCGTAATAATTGTGTTCTACTCTCTTTTCTTTCTTTTTATATATCTTATTTATTATCAAAGAGTGACAACCCAGAACGAGCATTACAGCAACTAGAAATAGTCGTATACGGCCGTTTACGGTGACGTAAACAGCCGTATACGGTGGCGTAAGCGGCCGTATACGGCCATAAACGGCCGTAAACCCGCCGTATTTCCAGGGACCGTATTCCGACCGTATTTCGCCATGTCGTATACGGCATAATACGGCGATCGTGTACGACCGTAATCACAGCGGGACACAGCGCTGATGCCGACGCGCAAGATCGCATACAATACCGTTTACGACAGTAACACCACCGTATACGCCCCTACCTTCTCCAGCACGCAAACAAACACCTGGCCGTTTTGAGACTTTTTGAGACTGATTGAGACTTATTTATTGAGACTTTCTGAGACTGATTGAGACTTATTCGTTGAGACTTTTTGAGACTGATTGAGACTTATTCGTTGAGACTTTTTG